ATACAGTTCCACACATTTCTAAAAATATTTTTATCATTGATATTTATTGTATTTTTATTAAACAAATGTCTAAAAGTAGCAAGTATAATTAATATAGACCACAATGAGACTATCACTAAAAATATTATTAGCTCAATCATTTTAGAGTTGTTTGAGTGAGTAGAAATTCAATAGTTTATAAAATGTGAAAACTTTAAAACTTATCTATTTATTATGTAAAATACATTTATTATGTATGAGGGGTATGAGAAATATATTTTATACTAAAATAATTTAAAAACCATTAAGTGTATAATACTGGTACCTATAAATAATATCTGTGATCTAACCTTCAGTATTATTGTTACTTTTGGGCAAATAGTTGTCCACTATTTGAGATGTTAAAGTGGATGTCACTCTTAAATGCCATAAAATATGAATCTCTGCTATAAGTAAATGCCTATATTTTATTAATAAGATTTGTTAGTACAAAATACTCGAAAATATTTATTACAAAATATGTCACTTATATTAACCTTGATAACTTTGAAACTTTACATGTAAGCAATTTAGAAAAATAAAATTGAAGCATGTTTTGCTTTTTCAGATATATTACTTTTATTATAATATATTTTCAGGTTAATATGTTAATTAGTGATAAATTAAAAATATGAGAGCTGCATTTGAAACTTTCCAGACAAAAATAGAACTATTTATACTTTTAAATAATATATATTTGTTTTCACCAACCACAAATAATCAACAAATAAAATGTTATATTTTATACTGTATACTTTATACAGTATAAACAATATTTTTTAATTCATATTCATTTTTAATGATTTAATTATAATATGCATGTGTAATTTATTATCAATCTTGTTTGTCATACTTGTTTAAATATTTTTAATATGTTAATATTGCTATGTGGAATTATTTTTAAAAAGTGTTTAACTGTATGCAGATTTTAAAATTATAATACTAACAGTACATAATGTTTTATAAACAACGAGTTTTAAACCACGTTATAAATTTTGCTTATTTATATATAACATTACCAGAAATATATTACTGTACATGCGCAAATATGCATGTAGCAACATTATACAGTAAACACACAAAAAATTATTATTTAACATACATAGCTTTTGCACGTAAGCCACATAATAAATGTTGACCTTGCATGCTTTTGCAAATGAATTTAGGTGTGTCGAGTCGACTATTAATTTAATAAAGCACTTCTAATTGTATTGATTCAAAATAAAAGTAATTATCTATAATATTTAATGTGTTATAATTCGTGTATAAATTTAAGAATCATCAAGCTACATATACAGTATAACTTATGTTACGGTTTATTGAGATAAATGTGAATATAACACAACAAACATCACAAAAATAGTGATAATTATTGTGAATTTGATTATTAGTTAATAATTCTTAATAAACTGTGTTTTTGTAATTTAATGATTTTATTCAAATTACAATATGGTACAGTATTTATTATGAAATTATATTAATTTTAAAAATATACTGAATTAAAAATATTTTTGCATATTTTCTTAGATTAACTATAAATTACTAAATTACATACGCCATATGTAAAGTAAAATTGACATTAAATAATTATATATTTATTATAATATGTCTCGTGATATAAATACGTATAAAATTGCGAGTGATATCCCGGATAATCTAAAACAAGATATTAAATTGTTTTACATTTTCGATGACACGGATGGATATAACATACTGTTTTCGACAACCGATGACACGGTGTACGGATTGGGCACTAATAGTGAGGGTCAGCTCGGATTGGGACACAACACAGCCGTTCATACACCACAGGAAGTGACAGAATTATGCCATAAAAATATACATCAGTTTATGAACGGAAAGGACTTCGTATTGGCTGTCGATAGAGATAAACAGATATACAGTTTTGGTTATAATAAATGGGGACAACTGGGACGGGATGTGAGTGGGAATGGCTATCATAAGCCCGATATTATTACATACTTTACATCAAATGAGATAATTATTAATGAACTTAGTTGCGGCTCTAACCATACATTAGCCCATACATCCAATGACCTAGTATATGGGTGGGGATGTCATATATATGGACAAGTAGGTTGCGGAAGGTCTGGTAATGATCATGTGCAAACTCCGGTGGAAATAGCATTTCCGATTGATTGCAAGATTAGTAAGGTAGTTTGCAATGAATTAACATCATTTGGTATCTCATGCAAGGGTCTGGTATTTATATGGGGAAAGCATAATTACAAGAAAATACCTTTACCACAATTGTTGGAAAATGTCACTAATATTAAAAACATTTGTTTCGATAATAATGACAAATATTTGCTATCAAACGATAGATTGATATATGTATACAATTTTGGTACCAAAAATATGCAAAACATAGCTACTATCGCATTTACTGAAATGAGGCAATTATTTTCGTACCTGGATACTCGTAATAAATCATTAATAACATGTATATCTGGAAACAAAATACACGAAATTAATTCAAAGCAAATAATTGAAACAATTTATAGAAATTTTGATGACTATTACGCGCATGAATTTAATATGACTTTAAATACTATTTCAACATATGATCCACGTATCTTTGACCACATAATTGGTGCAAATAATGATGGTAAAATTACATCAATAATTGATGCATAATATCAAAATATATATTGTATATTATATATTATTCATATAGAAATCATTGAGTGTATATTGAATAAGCCTTTCGACATCATGGGTAAACTTGGTGAAGGTGGTTATGGGCAAGTTTATAAAATTCAAAACAAAAACGACCACAAAGATTATGCTATAAAGAAATGTCACTTAAGAGGTAATTATTTTATTTCACATAATGTACAATAAATAATTTTAATTACTTTTAAAATGATTTACAGAATTGACAGAAAAGGACACACAAAATGTTTTGAATGAAACGCAAATTATTTTGAAACTTCGGTCAGAGTTTGTAATTCAATACTATTATCAATGGATTGAACAAAATTGTCTTTACTTTCAAATTGAGCTATGTATCGATAATCTCAACAATGTTTTGAAAACTAAGAAATCATTGTTTACTGAATTGATGACTATTTATGAGTTTTATATTTCGTTTCATATGTTCCAAAGACTCACAGAATGTGTACAATATTTACATGAATTTAAGCCACAGATCATTCACAGAGACATCAAACCGGATAATGTGTTGATTTCAATAGACCGACGCATAAAGTTATGTGACTTTGGTATATCTAAAGAGGTCTATAATCTGGAGCCGTATGTAATGTCGGCAGATATCGGTGATCTGTCATATCAGGCACCGGAAGCACAGACTAATGATTACAATCATAAAGCTGATATCTATAGTTTAGCACTAATTGGGGCTCAAATATTTGGATTCGATAGATACGATATAATGGATGGAAAGTATGTTTATTAATTTTCATATTTGGTTTAATAGCTTAGTTTTATCTGTATTTAAATATTTTAGAATTAATTTGCCTACCACATACAATCAAGATATTAATGAAGTAATGAAAGAAATGAATGCATTATTAGTGTCAATGGCTATCAATAAATATCATAAAAACGGTTTAACAGATTATAACGATAGACCCGAATGTTCGCACATTTTATCGCAATTAAAGACATTTATGGCAAATAAGCCTATCATCCAGGAAAATGATATGACTTCATTAATAAATACTAGATTCTCGGGCGGGAATAACATTTTTTATAATTTTTTCCTACTAAGCAAACCAACTTGTATTATCCGAAAGTCTACAAAACTAGCTAACGGTTAGACAATTTTGGATATTTGAAATACTAAATATCCAAATCGGGATTTTCTGAATAGTAAACCTTTTTCATAGCTCATCGATTAAAATATAAAATTTTATATATTTAGTTACCTATCTAGTTATTTAGTTACTTAAAAAGGTCACGATTCAGAAAACCGGATTAGGATATTTAAATCAGATATTTATTTATATTCTAACGAATAAGAGGTTTTATTTTTATATAGTGGATATACTTGAAGAAATAAATAACTCCATGCTTGAAGTAACTGACCAAAGCGTTATGAAATATGATATTTCATCATTTAAACCACAAAGTTCTCAACAGTTATATTCACTATTAAAGATATCAATACCAGGTATGTATTTGCTAAAATTCCAAAACTTAAGTTTACTCATTATAACTTGGTCTACATATGGATGGGCTTGTGCTATACCGTCCTTAAAGTTCACTGCATGCAGACTGTAAGCAATACATAATTAGTATACTTATTATATCAAAACTATATAACATTGGAAATAAACAAAACATTAAGTCATTTCAATTACTTTTAAACCCAATTAAACTTAATTATTAATAATAATGGACAGCAATACGTTTTTAAATAGTCTTAAACACAAGTGCTGGATCAATTGACAATATTATTTTTATAAATATAACATTCAGTATATTCGTTCAAAATCATTAAGGACGGTCTTGCATGTAAGGGATCATATGTGTCAGGGAAAGCCAGACAGCACTAAGTCCAATTGCAAATACATTATAATGAACCTTAGGTATTCATTGGTCAGTATATTGTGTGAATGGTATACAGTATAATATAAGTTTAATTTAGTGTTCATTACAAGAAACAAAACATATTTAATTATGTAATTTATAACATTATATTTATCTTCAAATTATAATAAAATTTATTAATTATTAAAGTTATTTAAATATGATAAAACATTAATACTGACCAATGAGTTACCTAAAGTTCATTATAATGTATTTGCAATTGGACTTAGTGCTGTCTGGTTTTCCCTGACACATATGAATAATTATGTTCATGCATAATTGCTTATGCAATCAATTTTAAATGCTAAGCGATTTGTGATAGTAATATACACCAAACGACATAGAAAATAATCATGTTATTAGACAGGGCTAGGAGTTACTATTCGGTTTGACTTTAAAAATGGCAGCCTTTTTGTGGGCCTGAATAGCCCAGCCTATTAATATGTGATTACAGTTATAATTAGTAAATTAGTAACTGATTTAACTTTAAACTATATAAAATAATTTGTATAAAATCAATAATAATTTAATATTTAATAATAATTAAATATATACCTAGCTCACTCTCTTTGATCATGCGACCGGGCGAAGACTGAGTTTTAAAGTCAAACCCGTTACTATTTAGGCTTATTTATTAAAAATAGTCAGACCTATAAATAACAAAAAATATTTGCGTATATTTATTTACTAATTTACAGATGATAGAATGATTAACCCTGATTTTTGAAATTGTAAATTAAATTTTCATAAAATTAATTTAAAAATAAACAATATCATTTATTTATAATTATTAGGAGAAATAGATGAGATGATTGAACTATTGACTGAAATTAGGAAGTTATTTGACATAAAGTCAGAATACATGGTTGACTATTATAATTCATGGATTTGCGATAATTACATATTTATACAAACGGAATCGTGTACAAAAACACTCTGGGACATTATTTGCGCAAAGAATGAAATTTTCAAAACACAGGACTCATTGGCTATGGTTTGCGTTGATTTCTATATGTCCTATGAATTGGTGAAACAATTCTTAGAATGCGTTCAATATTTACACGAATCGGTCGATACAGATATTATTGATTGGAAACTGAATCCCAAGAATATATTGATTGCCGATAATGTAAGGAATGGTAGGTTTATTAGAGTAAACCTATTTAATTATAAGACACCAGGCAACTTAATATTTAAAAAGGGAGCTTATTACTATTACTACATTGAAAAGATTATACGCGATTTATTTGAACCCACCTTATCAAAGTAAGCATTTTCATTTGATAAATTCGCATGTTTAATTATTTGATTCAAATATTTTATCATCATTCAGAGTTGAAAATCAAAAACTGTTGGGAATAAACATCAATAATATTCACGACTTTCTAAATAGTCTTAAATATACTGCGGATGTGGAGGAAAGGGGTGTCGAGGATGTGTTGAATGAATTCAAATACATTTTCACTCATAATATAGAAATTACAGATAATATGATTTCCACATTTCAGACCCATTTTGCCACATTAAATAACCCGGAATATAATTTCTTTGTTGAAAACGCTTTTGTAAAAGCAATTACAAAACAATAATTAATATTATTTCTAAAAATGTTAAGTACCATATAATTTATACCTACCAGTGCCAATCTGTGCTTATGAGCTAACTAGTGTTGAAACTCTTTGACTAATTAATGCATGACTCACAACACTAGTTTTAATTTTTACATTATAAACTTTAGACTTTTTATATTACTAATTGAAAAATTAATATCTATTGTTGTGAGTCGTGAATTAAATAGTCAGTGTTTCACCACTAGTTAGCACTTTAAGCACAGATTTGCACTTGTCGATTTATATTGTAATTGTATGATTTTTTAAACAATTTTATAAAACTAATATAATGAGTGTATAACAAGTTTTATTAACTATATAACTATCATTGATACTGTTTTGGTTGATTCTGAATATTTTAGATTTTTTATTTAATTAAAATAATATTGAAAAATTATTTACTAGTGAATATTTTTGTTACCAATATATATCTTTAAATTTAATATTTATTTTAATAATTCATCATACAGGGTATAGATATAATATTTCTGTAGACTATATTTTAAAGTAAAATTATATGTTAACAAAAAACTGTTAATTTTGAGTAATTTGGACAATTAATACATTGTGCATCAGTTCAAATAAAATAATGTATATTCAATATATTACAGTAGTATGTATTCTAACCCACAATACACTATAATCTATATTATAGTATGTTTTCCCTTATATTATGCTTAAGTATCATATTGTACTCCCTTAAGATTAACTCTTATGTAACACTTATTATACTTATTTAATCAATAAATATTATTATCATTTATGCTTTTGTCTTTTAATCAATAAACACCGTTACGGCACAGTCTGAAAAACCTGTTATGATTTATTAATATTATCGGATATCCACAATGTCATTTACATTTAGGTATGCTTCACAAAATAATGTTATAGCATTTACATTTACACATTATTAACATTTACATCAGCATTTACATTATTATTGCTTGTACAATTATTGTTAATAGCATCTATGTCCATTTCTACATTATCTGGCTTTTGATTAACAGCTAATCGCTTATCAAATATAGCTTTTGATACAATAACCTGTAACCCAATAAATGGTAACTCAAACCACGCGGTCAATGGTATCATAATTGCATAGTTTAAGACCACATATACCAGGGTATACAACATTTCAATGGGTACAGCCCATAGTACTAACTCCCGGACACTATTGGGGGTAAACTGTAATTCCGGTGCGATGTCTGAAAATATGAGTCCCAGTAGCAGGTGGTGGAGGTATGAGGTCTGTTGGCATACCCTGAATGGGCGCCAGTACTCTGAGGTACCGAACCGGTATAGGAATTGCCAAAAAGGGTGGTTGCTCTCCATGGC